AGTCGGTACACGTGATCCAGAAACAAGAGGGCAGACTCTTTTCCTGAGATCTTGGTGCTACATGGTGCCAAATGCACCATCTTGCTCAGTCTGTCTACAAAGACGACGAGCCCCGTCCTGCCTATATGGTCAGTCAGTAATCCAAACATAAAGTCCAAACTGACCGACTTCCAACATTCAGTTGGAATCGGCAGTGGCTTCAGTGGCGCATTGCGAGAAGGTGAAGGCTTTATGCGCTGACACTCTTCGCAAGAGCGAATATAGTTGGCCACCCACTGGTATAGGAGGGACCACCAAAATTTCCCTGACACTCGTAAGAATGTCTTTTCACGACCCAGATGCCCACTAGATGGCGCATCATGGCACTCGTGAAGTATCATCAGCTTGAGATCTGTGCCATTAGGGACATAGAATCTTAAGGGATCACAAGGTGACAGCTTATGCCATAATAGGCCATCACGGTTACTAAAGCGATATAACTTCGCTTCCAAATGTGACGGAAGTGCAACCTTTCGCCCACTAAAAGATACGACAGCAGGCGACAATGTTCGTCCTGACTGTAACACTCTTTGACATCGGAGGCCATTAAGCTCGTCACATGGTAGACCTTCATGGCTGCCAATGTTGACGACTCACCTTGTGCTTTCGCACGAGACACACTTTCCTGGTGTCTTGCCTCGAAGTCTGGTCTGCGCGATAACGCGTCAACCAAGACATTCGACTTACCCTGCTTATATTCAACTTTAGAATTAAATTCAAAGAAGAATGTTAGCCCTAGCCATTCTCGGCGAGAGGTGCGGTGAATTTATAGCGGTCCGCAGTGATTCGTGATCCGTATAAACCACAAAAGGTTCGGTGCCTACGAGGTGCACTTGAAACTTTACCCAAGGGCATACTTAATTGAAAGTATCTCCTTGTCCTGCACAGGGTAATTCAGCTCTGCGGATTTCAAAAGCCAAGACTGATACGTAATGACACGGTCAAGGCCGCTGTCGTCCTTCTGCATGAGCGCGCTGCCGATTGCAAAATTTCTTGCATCGCAAACGACGCTAAAAGGCTTATCCGCGTCTGGCAATGCCACGACCGGTGCCTCAACAAGAGGTTGCTTCACTGGTGTGAACGCATCTTCTTGATCCTTAGACCAAGTCCATTCTGCATCCCTTTTTTGAAGGTCAGACAATGGCTTCGTTCGCTCCGCACACTTCTTGCTTTACTTTATGCAAGTAATTAGCGAACTCAAGGAATCCGCGCCGATACTTCACGTGTCGTGGGACTGACCATTCCTTGATAGCCTTTACCTTTTCTGTGCCTGCTCGTACACCATGTGACCCTACGATGCAGCCCAGTACAGGTTTCTCGGGGACACCTATTACGCACTTTTGCAAGTCAACGTATAATTGAACGTCACCCAGAGTGTGCAACACAGCGTCTAAATGGCGCTTGTGCGACTCCATTGCGCTCAGACCGTCCTCCGCCCTACTATGCACGAATACAGCGTCAAATTAATGGGGCGAGTAGGCACGGCGCTGACGCATCACGTGAGCCACCACTCGGTTGAATGTCGCTAAAGCATTTTTCAGTCCTTGTGGCATCACAAGCCACTCCCACAGCATACCGCTTGGGTTGATTACTGCCGTTTTGCTACATCAGTATCTATCATGAGAGTTTGATAGTACCATCCTTCAGATCCAACGCGGAAAAGATAGTTGACTTTCCCATGGAGTTCAACAAGACATCTTTCCGCGAGATCGGCGTCTGCTCCAGAATGGTGGCCGTGTTCAGCTTATTATAAGCGTGAAACACGCGCCATCCGCCTGTTGCTTTACGAACTAAGAAGGTCGAGATGCTGTGAGTCAACTTTCTCTCACGTACATGTCCCGCCTTTGATCGCTTGTCGAAGAACTCATCCATGTAATCGACTTGTTCTTTCGGCAACGGCCATTGCCTGGTCACACAATACTTGGTGTCAGGCTCCAAGTTCAATCTCGTGCCTGATGCCCCTATCGACCGATAGGCGGCTCGGCATTTCTGCTGGGAAAACGTCACATAATATCATATAAAACGGGCTTTACTTCAAGGCATCCCAGCCTTGAGCAGCAAACTGTTTCTTCTTGTCGGTTTTGGGTCAAAGACGCTCTCGCTTATTGTGGACGATGAGCAACAGTCCACCACGTTCTCTTCTGGAACTGGTGCGACTATCTCATGGATCTTTCCTTCCTTTGGTTCGGACAGAACCGATCCCACGTCATCTCCGAGATATTTACTATCTCCTCGGCAGATGCCAAAATAAGCTGGAGCACCTCAACTGAGGATGCCTCCGGCATCTTGTCTTCGACGACCTCCAGGTCCGTCTTCTTGGACCGAGAATGATCCAAGGGTCACTCGTTTCGACGTGCCCTTGATGGTCTTACTACGTCTGGTGCTCGTTCTTTGAGTCACCACGACCTTTGACCTGGAAGAAGGTGTCGTTGATATTATAGCTAACGCACTCCTCCCAACCGCACCAGGCTCATGGCTCTGTGCCGGCTCTTGTCACGCTTTACTTCCTGTCAGCCCACCATCAACTGCCACAGTCTCTCGGCTCTATGCAAGACCATTGAACGCATGACTACTTGTCATCGTCCCATTCACTACACCAGTCTCCTAGAGTTGGGTAGAAATTTGTGTCACCTGGCTTTCCGCCAGTGCACTTCCAACTACACCACTCCTTTCGAGCTGGGTAGTTCCTGGTGTCGATTGACATACCGTCATCGCACCCTCGACTGTGTTGGACACAGCATCAGCCACATAAGCCTCTCGCAAGAGCACATCCTTTCCGGTGTCTTGCGTAGAGCTAGCGACTGTGCGTGAACGCCAGTCTATCCAGGGTTGGTGTTTAGCCAACCAAGGCATGCCTAGGATGAGGTCATACGGACTCTCCATACCTAGCACTGTGAACTTCTCTTTACAAGAGAAGTCACTGAAACTGAAGGCGAGTTCAACTTGAACTCCCTCCGATTTGACGAGCGCGCCGTTCGCTAAACGAACGATCGCCTATTCTAGCTTGCCATCCTGGCAAAGCGACTCATAACTCGCCGGTCTCTTTTTTAGAGCCGCGAGTTTCACAAAGTTTTGAGATGCACCCGAATCCACGAGAAGGTTCATCATTTGGTCATAGCCTCGTACTCGAGCGCTATAGACCAAAAGGGTTGAGGTCCGACCTTTTGGAACCTCAGAGACTATGCTACCCATTTGTTCGATCACTCTGAACTTAGGGGTAGATTCAGAGTCCGCGACAGTAGGGCATCCCGCCCCTACTGCGCTCCCGCATTTCCCGACTTATCGGGGGTCGAATGAATCCGTGCGACGTGCACGATTATTCGCACTACCCTTCGGGTTGGGAGACTTTTCAATGGGCGCCTTGGCCCCAGCAGCAAGTTCGACATGGCAGCGAGCTATCATATGGCCGCGCTTGCCGCACTTGTAGCAGATCACATCTGCATTGACTAACTGCATGGGAGTGGCATCAGACTTTTCGGTCGACGGCCTGCAATAGGCTGTCGCCGAGGCGCTGTTGTAGGATTGCTCCTCAACTAAGGCAATGTCAATTGCCTCTTCCATCGTCGCTGGCACCTTTCTGAAAAGGTCCTGACGCGATGGGCCATGCCTAAGTCCATTCATGAACGTGGCTACCTTGATACGCTCTGGTATCGGTTCCCCATTAATGGACGCCGACAGCGAACGCATCTCCTGCACAAATTCTTGCAGAGAGCGTTTCGCCTGTCGTGCTCCAAAGAAGCGCGCCATAAGCAACACTTCGTTGTTAGGCGGCTGATACATGGCGCGAATCTTTGACTTAACGATCGTTCATGATGGAAATGCATCAGCATTAGCCATCAGCGCAGAGCATGCCCACTCTGACGCTTTGCCACGCAAGTTGGACATGGCATACGACACCATTCTGGTGTCGTCTTCGATGAGCTGCGCCACTCCACATTGCTCAACTGCTAATAGCCAGTGAACAATCGTGTGAGGGCTAGTTCCATCGAACTTCGGAGGGTCCATCCGAATGGGCCTCGGTTGAGCAGGCCGGGAAGAGAGCGTCTCAATAGTTCTGTTGAGCGCCTCATTCCGTGCCTGCTCAAGCCTAAGCTCATCCTGAGTCTTACTGATGGACTCAGCGGTGGCTTGGCTGTTTACCTCGGACGCGTTTCTACGCTGTCCGAGCACAAACGCCTCAAATTGCTCCAACTGCGCAACATGTTGCTCAGGAGGACATTGCAAGAGGTTGACCAGGGCTTGTTCACCAAGTCCCTGCGCCATATGCTCTGCCAACTCCCTATGATGTTGGGAGAGGTAAGGGAATTCACTCCAGTCCATATTAAGGACCATGTCAACCACACGCACGCTCAGAGAGACGGGTCGTGGGAAGGACCACTAGTGATACCAAGTGTAGACGGGCACTTCTACGAAGTTGCCTCGCACTACGAGCACACACCGTATGCACAAGCGAGGAAGCGGTTAGATCGTATTACCTTCGCGTGCGAGGGTGGTTAGGAGGTTAGTCGACTGCTTAAGCAGTCGTACCAACAGTTGCCTCTCGCTTAAGCGAGAGTGCAACGAACTTCTTAACACTAAAGCACCGACGTCACGTAGAAGCTTTTCGGCTTCTCGTGCGTGGTGCTTTTAATTTAGCAAATTCAAGACTGAGCTATATTTAATTAATTACAACTAATTATATACTTAACTACTGATTGGCTGTATGTATATATGTATGTAGATCGGATACGCGACTCTTTAGAAGCGTATCCTGTCGCATGATCTTAAATCTAGATTTAAGATTGCAACTGACGTCCTTCTGAGACGTCGCGATGCCTAGCTTCAACTAGCGTCATCCTTTCTCATGTGAATCCATAAATGTATATCACACTCACGATGGTGGATCACCTTTGTGTATCGCACCCAAGTGACAGGTCATAAGTAATCATGGATACTTTTAGACCAAACGTTAAGTATATTACTTAATGTTTACGTGTAACCAGATGCCCTGTTACATTTACAGCCGTGCCATCCACTTTGGAACGTGCTGGAGGACCATGGATCATGAAGGCGTAGTTTAACGACAGCGAGACTGCCAAAATTTCCGGGTCTTTGTTAGCAGGGTTGTTGAGCCACAAGATACAAGTTTGCCAGCCGTAGCGATGACCTTTATCCTTTATTTGCTCTTTCGGAAAGTACCATGCGTACATGATAGCATATTTTCCTTTGTACCAAGCTGCACGCCCGTAAACTTGAGACGCATAGCGATTTCCCTTGCATTGACCGTCAGAGGGTCCGGTAGGATTAAGTCCACCGCTAATATAACCTTCTTGGCTTACTACAGGGTATGCGTGGCATAGATGCGGACCAATTGTGAGTCTCGGTTTGAATTTGACGGCAGCCTTTTCATCGAGCGTAGCGGCGGTAGGCTGGTGAAACGGTCGTATGTCGTCGTGATTGATCTTCCTAAACTTCGGGCATGATTTCAACGGCGCATTGATATAACCAGCTTCCTTGGCCGTTACATGGTCTACGACCGTAGTAATGCCGGCCAAAGCGACACATAGGAAGCCAGCGATCTTCATGGTGGGAGATTTTCACTTGTTGACTCTTGTTCAGGATGAAAAAAGAATAATGAGATGGTGGGAGGCGATGTCACCAAGAAAAGTCGATGAAGTATGTGCATCACCAAAGTTGTTTTATTATAGTTTATTCAAGAACCTTTACAACCAGATTTCGTTCTTCATACAAAGAACAAGTCTAGTCGAATCGTGCAGTAAATGGTAGAGCTTTCACATCGCAATTCGTAATCTTATCATGCTTAAAGTGCGCATGGCCGGACATGCCTTCAGTGTGACAAATTTACAACCTCAGCAAGGCTCAAAGTAGAAACAGAGTACAACAGTAAATGCTGTATTTACGTATAATGTTATCTACAAGTTGTATCACCAACAGATTTCTCTTCATTTGGAAGGAAACTCTTGTATCAGCTGTTGCATAAAATTTTGATCGTTAATGGGCACGCGCCAGTACGTTAAATTTAAGGCACACTGTAGACGGGCACTTCTACGAAGTTGCCTCGTACTACGAGCACACACCTTATGCACAAGCGAAAAAGCGGTTATACCGTCTTACTTTTGCGTGCGAGGGTGGTTGGAAGGTTGGTCGACTGCTTAAGCAGTCGTACCAACAGTTGCCTCTCGCTTAAGCGAGAGTGCAACGAACTTCTTAACACTTACAACACCGACGTCACGCAGAAGTTTCTCAACATCTCGTGCGTGGTGTGCTTGTTTAAGTAAATTCAAGACTGATTTATATTTAATAGATTTTAACTAAATATAAATCTAACTACTGATTGGTTAATATGTAATGATGGGTGCCCTCTCTATAGATGCGCATCCCAACGTGCGAGCTTAAATATATTTAAGCTCGCTCAATGACGTAACTGACTGACGTCATTTGATGACGCCTAGTCCCAGCTGGGCGTCATCCCCATCAATGTGAATACACCTAGTGTATATCACATACGCAAGGGTGTGACACATGGTGTATCTCACCCGAGCGACATGTCTTAAGTACTTACGTACCTTTTGAGACCTTCCCGTTAAGTATCGCATACTTAACGGGTACGTATAACGTTGAGCCCGTTACACCATCCCCCTTTAAAACGATTTTTTACATTTTTGTAAAACGTCGCCTAGGAGACAGAGAGACTGGCGAGCCGTTTATAAACGCGCCGCTTTAGTCTGCTCAGTACTCATGCCACAATGGTAAGGCTGATGGGTCGCCTGCAAAGGCACCCATGCAGTCCAGCACTAAGCGCACACGCCGCGATTTATCGCAGCCGTCGCAAAGTGCGTCAGGCATTGGAGTGGATCTTCCGTCTCACGATAATGTGGATGAAGATCGATCTCTCATTGTTGACTACAATGAGACCACACCACTGCCATCACCCCAAAGTGGCGATGAGCATAGTGCACTGATGGGACATATGTCCCCATCATTTGAGGCACCCGTCCTTGAGGAAGCATCTATGCTTCCTACAAGCGAAGGTAACGCCTCGTCGTCTGCGCCTACGAGCGCAGCGACTAAGACTGAGCACGCTACTTCGAAAGGAGTAGTCGCGACTCAGTCAGATGTAACTCCTCAAGCTGATGTCTTGACAATCCATAATGGAGAGTCAGACTCAGGTGAGTGTGAGCTTAAAGCTCCACCAAGCACACCTTCGGCCTCACTAGCCCGCCGTCGCGAGGGCGGCTACGTGAGTGGTGGCTTGCCACCAATGCCACCTCCATCTGAGTGGATGCACTCGGATGGGTCTAGCGCAGCGCTTCTAATGAAACAGCCGACGACTACTTCGGCGCCGTGTTACCTTGCATGAAGATGCAACGAAACAGCGGTCGCAGCGAATCAGCTTCGCCATAAAGCGTGCAAATGAAATTATGGGCGGTAAGCGACCCCCAATTGATTCTCGCCACGCTGCTTCTGCTAGTCCTTCCGGACCTAGCAGAAAGAAGACAGCTGGTGCTGCTCACATAAGCAGCCACCAGACCAGGCACGTCGACGCGCAAAGCGTCCACAGGATCCCACGAGTCAAAGCTCGTTGGGTAACCCTTCCACTGGACCAGGATTTGGAGCTTTCGCTTCACAAACCGGTGGGTTAACAGCCTTTCAACAAGGAAGCGCGTGTTCCCATCCGTGTCCACCAACACAGGTGGCGCCCGATAGGAGTGGCGATTACGCCCACCTAATCGCAGCTGCCTACCCTGCTGTTGTTCAGTCGCAGGCTGAGTCTGCTGCGCTGAAGAGACAGGTGACAGATCTCGATAGTCAAGTCTCGCGAATGACTTTGGATCTGCGCGATGTGAGGACGAGGGACCGTCAAGGGGTATGACCGCCTGAAGACCCGTTTGGACATATTAGAGCGACTGGTGATGAGATACCCGCGTCAAGCGCGGAGTCCTCCTCGATCACCGAGTCCTCTATCGCCTCGTTCATACACGGGGAGCTTCTCGGCTTCCTCGTCGCCTGATCGGTCGCGACGCTCGACTCACAGTCGGCGTCACTATCGGTCTCGTTAGACCGATGCGGATATGTGATCTCTGCTGGATCAGCATATTGTTTCAGACGACCCACGCAGAATACGGGGTGCGTCGTTATATACGGTGGGAGAGTGAGCCTATAATTTAGGTCTCCAACTTCTTCAACCACTGTAAAGGGCCCAATGAACCGGGGCAATAGCTTTGTAGTACCACCAAAAAGGTAGTACAGAAATTGCATGTTTAGGTAGGGTAGCAGTACTTAATAGCACTTTGTCCCCCACACTAAAGTGTTCATTGTTTTTGCGACCATGCTGGTCTGCATATTGTTTTTGCTTCTCCCATGCGCTTAACATCGCGTCACGGACTTTACGTGTGATGGCAAATCGCTCATCCACGAAGCGCTGAGCTTCGATAACGCTTGTAGCATCCAGCTCGCCTATGACACTTCCAAGAGGTTGGTCATGGGTCGACGCTGTTGATACACTATAGTGTCATCATCAAGGAGCACTGGCATTTCTTACCGTGCCTCCTCTGTGACACCTATAGGTGCCGTGACCACTGCTAAATTAGCAGTGTCACTAGGGCAACCTTGGCTCTCTTTGGCATTCGCACCGAGCGAAGTGAGGGGCCTTCCCCCACTAAGACTCGGGCTGCGCACAAACGAGACTGGCGTTCGAGGATGACGCAGTCCGTTAATGTAAAACAGTGTTTCACCCGTACTGGCGTGAACACTGTTATTAATAGCGAGCTCCACGAATGGCAATTGCTTGCTCCATTCTTTGGGAGTCGCTACTGTACGCAACACATCCGCCACGACTCGATTGGCACGTTCTGTATGGCCATCGGTCTGGGGATGATAAGCGGTTGACATGTGGAGCTTGCTTCCCAGCAGCTAAAACATATGTCGCCAAAAACCCGACGTAATACGCGGATCTCGGTCCGATACTATGGATTCAGGCATCCCGTGTAGTCGGTACACGTGATCCAGAAACAAGAGGGCAGCCTCTTTTCCTGAGATCTTGGTGCTACATGGTGCCAAATGCACCATCTTGCTCAGTCTGTCTACAAAGACGACGAGCCCCGTCCTGCCTATATGGTCAGTCAGTAATCCAAACATAAAGTCCAAACTGACCGACTTCCAACATTCAGTTGGAATCGGCAGTGGCTTCAGTGGCGCATTGCGAGAAGGTGAAGGCTTTATGCGCTGACACTCTTCGCAAGAGCGAATATAGTTGGCCACCCACTGGTATAGGAGGGACCACCAAAATTTCCCTGACACTCGTAAGAATGTCTTTTCACGACCCAGATGCCCACTAGATGGCGCATCATGGCACTCGTGAAGTATCATCAGCTTGAGATCTGTGCCATTAGGGACATAGAATCTTAAGGGATCACAAGGTGACAGCTTATGCCATAATAGGCCATCACGGTTACTAAAGCGATATAACTTCGCTTCCAAATGTGACGGAAGTGCAACCTTTCGCCCACTAAAAGATACGACAGCAGGCGACAATGTTCGTCCTGACTGTAACACTCTTTGACATCGGAGGTCATTGAAGTCGTCACATGGTAGGCCTTCATGGCTGCCAATGTTGACGACTCAACTTGTGCTTTCGCACGAGACACACTATCCTGGTGTCTTGCCTCGAAGTCTGGTCTGCGCGATAACGCGTCAGCCAAGACATTCGACTTACCCGGCTTATATTCAACTTTAGAATTAAATTCAAAGAAGAATGTTAGCCCTAGCCATTCTCGGCGAGAGGTGCGGTGAATTTATAGCGGTCCGCAGTGATTCGTGATCCGTATAAACCACAAAAGGTTCGGTGCCTACGAGGTGCACTTGAAACTTTACCCAAGGGCATACTTAATTGAAAGTATCTCCTTGTCCTGCACAGGGTAATTCAGCTCTGCGGATTTCAAAAGCCAAGACTGATACGTAATGACACGGTCAAGGCCGCTGTCGTCCTTCTGCATGAGCGCGCTGCCGATTGCAAAATTGCTTGCATCGCAAACGACGCTAAAAGGCTTATCCGCGTCTGGCAATGCCACGACCGGTGCCTCAACAAGAGGTTGCTTCACTGGTGTGAACACATCTTCTTGATCCTTAGACCAAGTCCATTCTGCATCCCTTTTTTGAAGGTCAGACAATGGCTTCGTTCGCTCCGCACACTTCTTGCTTTACTTTATGCAAGTAATTAGCGAACTCAAGGAATCCGCGCCGATACTTCACGTGTCGTGGGACTGACCATTCCTTGATAGCCTTTACCTTTTCTGTGCCTGCTCGTACACCATGTGACCCTACGATGCAGCCCAGTACCGGTATCTCGGGGACCCCTATTACGCACTTTTGCAAGTCAACGTATAATTGAACGTCACCCAGAGTGTGCAACACAGCGTCTAAATGGCGCTTGTGCGACTCCATTGCGCTCAGACCGTCCTCCGCCCTACTATGCACGAATACAGCGTCAAATTAATGGGGCGAGTAGGCACGGCGCTGACGCATCACGTGAGCCACCACTCGGTTGAATGTCGCTAAAGCATTT